CCCCAAAACCCCAAAACCCCAAAACCCCTTTCCATCCCCCAGTATTGAAAATTACCTACCCTCTCTTCCCCCACCCCCTTCTCCAATGTTAACTAAAATTGTTCATAAAAACTTATGGGTGGGCTTAGCCTCTGGTTTATGGTTCTGGGTGTTTTGTAGGATGGGCTATTTGGAAGGTACTGCCGATATGGGTCATTTTGGCAGAAGTGGTGTTTAGGTTGGGTTTGGGTAGGGATGGGTGAGGGATTTCGGATGGTTTGGGAGGAGGAATGTGAACACCTCCTTTGCTTTTCTTCCAGATACAAATGAAGGTGACAATACCTATAGCAATGAAAGCTAGTCCTCCAACAACACCTAAGACAATCCATAAGGCAGTCAAATCTGTCTTTGACTCTTTGCTGATCTCATCACCCCCACTGGAGCCAGACGAGCTTGAAGAATTACTGGGGACAGGAGCAATTGCGCCAATAGCAGTTATATTATATCTAATAGTGGAAGAGTACGGGTTGATCACTACATAAACGTCAACTGAGGGACTGAAGGAGACTGTAGCTATATAGCCTGCATTCAGTGTACCTATCAAGGTATAGTTTGCTTCTCCTCTCGGTGCTTTATAAACTGTTGCAATCGCCCCAGATATGCTGTCTATAGTAAAAATTTTGGTGAAAAGTTTGCTCAAATAAACAAAAGGTCTACTTCATCCCTATCTCAATCCTCCACTAAGCTACCACCCTTTAACGCTTTTTCTACCGCCACCCTTCAAAGCTTCTTCTACTATCACCCTTTAAAGATCCTTCTATTACCACCCTAACTCCTTCTTCTCTCCAAATCCTTTTCCCAAACTTTATCCAAAATCTCTGATAAACAAACTAGAACAAAACTTCCATCCCAAATTCCTTCCCACAGTCCTTTAGATGCTTCCAAATCCCTTCAATTCCATCTCTAAGTGCCTAATCTTGCTGAACGAAGCCTAGGAAAGCTCTCAGGTCTTCAGCATTCAGAGCAAGAACAGGAATTTTTATGCACAGGATTTGGAAACTTCAGGCTAAATTAGTCAGGGTTGGAACAGAAAGAAGATGAGCGGAGGAAGGGCATTGGGATATTGGGCAACAGGAGCCTGTGGAGGGGGGATTTAGAGGTAGCAAGAACTTTTGGATGGGTTAGAGGGAAGGTGAGCAGTTTGTAATTTACAAAGCGAAGAGCCTAACACAGAAGAAAGGATTAAAAACACTAAGAATAGATCAAGCTAAACTGCTAATATAATGAAACCTGAAAATAATTGATTTAGCACTTACTCATTGCGATCTTGGCTTGGTCAATAGAGCTTGTAGAAGTATAAAACCTTTCAGCTCATACTGCATCAGAAGGCAGAGAACTTACCACTATTGACCAATACTGATAAGTATTCGGAAGTGCGTGGTTCGTCTCCCCACACTTTGCAGTAACCTCTGGGCAAAGTATCAGCCCTGCAGTACCCTGGATGTTGGTGGCCCCAGAACAAGCATAGCTACTACTGCTTGCGCAATAGCCAGAGGTATCTCCAGAGTTTCAGCACTCTCCATTAGCCTGAGTAATTCCAACAGGAGCTCACCACCTCTGAGAGCCATTATTGACACAAGTCTTTCAATCTGACTGGCTTGAAGAAACAACAAGGCTTCTCTCCATGCCAATAGTCTGGCCTAAACAACATCCGGCAAGCAGAGTTAATGATAGGGTTAATTTAATCATCCTTAAAATATAATTGATGGGTTCAGCAGAATTCTGCTTATACGGGGTTTTGGGGTTTTGGGGTTTTGGGGTTTTGGGG